GATTAATTTCTATTTTTTTTTTTTAGTAGAGACGGGGTCTCGCTCTTGCTCAGGCTGGTCTCGAACTCCTGAGCTCAAACAATCCTCCTGCCTCAGCCTCCCAGAGTGCTAGGATTACAGGCATGAGCCACCACGCCCGGCCAACACCAAAACATTTTAAGAGAACAAAATTTGCTAATGTTTAATATCCAAAATGCAAAATATTAAATATCTCAATAATTTCATTTATTATATTCTATCTTTGTTATTAGAGTGTACAGTACACAATGGGTCAGCATGACAACAAAGATTATTTAGCAATATATACCTGAATTATATTGAGTGAAAATATAATTTAAGAATAGATTATATCTCCTAAGCCCTAAAATGAGAAAGAAAATTCTTAGATGTTTTAGATAGTCAAGGGATAGAAAAAATGTTTTAAAATTATGATATAATGATTCAAACAAGAAAGCTACAAATTTTTATATGTCTATATTATGTATATAGATAAATATGTAAATAAAACCACAACCTAAAATGAGGAGAGTTTTTCAAATAAACATTTAAAGCCAGGTGTGATGGTGCATGTGGATAGTCCCAGCTACTCAGGAGGCTGAGGTGGGAAGATCACTTAAGGCCAGGAGTTTGAGGCAGTAGTGTGCTACGACTGCATCAATGAACAGCCACTGTACTCCAGCCTGGGTAACATGCAAGATCCTGTCCCCAAAAAAAAAAAAAAGCATTTAAAAAGGAAATCTTTCAAAATATTAACCACATAAAAGTGGAATTAGTTTTTTCCCCCTTCATCTATGCTCTATATTTTTAGTTTTTCCATAGTTGACTATGCATCTATTATAATAACGCCTATTTACTAAGTAAATAAATAAATATTTACTAAAAATGTTGAGTCAAAAGTGATGGCCAAACCAAGGTTACTCAGAATACTTTAAATAGTTCAAGATTCTTCTCTCTGTTAATCTTATAACCAAGTAAACTTAAAGGTATGAATGAACATGAGTCATTATGCATGTTTGGCATATGAATTTCTTCCAGAAAAACAAACCAGGTGCAATTTCTATTACTCTTACATACGTTTCATATTGTTTGACTTTAAAGTTCCGTAAATATCTAAGGCAGCAGTTCCCAACAAAACATCAGATTTCAGTGTCTGGTGACTCCACACACGAAAATTTAATTTACTCACAGGAGTGACAATCCTAAAAGTGAAAAAAGGGGAAAAAAATATTACTTTCATTAAATATCACAATGGGATTCTAAACAAATTACAATTAAGTTTTAATGTTTAAAGTCTTCTCACTGCAACCCATATAGTTTACTGAACAACCAATATTGGCCTATGTTCTGTAATCTTATGAAAACTGTATCTGAGTATTACATGCTTATATGGTCATTTTCACTTGTGGTTGAACTACAGGGGCGACTTCATACATGTATTGTTAATAAAACTAAAACTGCTTATCGTGCAACCAACTGCTGGAAAGCTAGTTTTACTTTAATAGTAGTATATAAAATTGAAAACTGAATTTACAAATTAAATTCTTATTTTATATCAGGTAGTTTACTGAGCTTGAGGTTACTTCATTAAATCTTCACAATAGGCTGGGCGCAGTGGCTCACGCCTATAATCCTAGCACTCTGGGAGGCCAGGGCGGGCGGATTGTTTGAGCTCAGAAGTTCGAGACCAGCCTGAGCAAGAGCAAGACCCCGTCTCTACTAAAAAAAATAGAAAGAAATTATCTGGACAACTAAAAATATATAGAAAAAATTAGCCGGGCATGGTGGCGCATGCCTGTAGTCCCAGCTACTCAGGAGGCTGAGGCAGGACGATCACTTGAGCCCAGGAGTTTGAGGTTGCTGTGAGCTAGGCTGACGCCATGGCACTCACTCGAGCCAGGGCAACAGAGTGAGACTCTGTCTCAAAAAAATAAATAAATGAATAAATAAAAATAATAATAATCTTCACAGTAACCCTGTGAGATGGGAATTATCACTCCCATCTTCAGATGCAGAACTGATATTTAGAGAGATTAAGCCAATTGCCCTAGGTCATACAGCCAGTCAGTGGCAGAACTGTAATTTGAATGAAAGCCTTTTATTAAAATTTATATTAAAAAGTTCCTTACTCAGCTTTAAAATGATTTGAGAATTATATTAGATACATCAAGTCTCACACTGCTAGAGGCAAAGTGTACAGGACAACTATCAAACAAATACAGATTCACTCATTTCTTGCCAAATGCCAATAAAGAATGCTTTCCATAATGGTATTTTCCAAAGCAAACTGGGAAATGTGAATTTGCAATAAACATACAAACTATTCTGGAGTCAAGAACTAGAAAAACAGGAGCACTATATAACCTACCATAGTCCTATGGTCCAATGCTATGAAGACAAATTCTAGGAATGTTTGAATTTCCCTATGCCTCGTTCTTTCTGAAATGTGATCAAATTCGGGGTACAAAGAAATACTTTCCTCCTTAGAAGTCCACCTCTGTGCCTCATCACCATATTTCGACCACCATTTTAACAACAGGTAGTTTAAACGAACTAAAATTTTTTCACTTGCACATTGCCCCTCTTCTTTGGAAGTACAATTTATTCATTCTCTTTTCAAAACTTTCAGATGCTACTTTCAGGAGAGCACATAGAAATCACAACAGGGTTAAGAAACAATGGTGATATAGCACCTCTTGTATTCTCCTGGATAGACCTGGAACACATTCTACTAAGTGAAGTATCCCAAGAATGGAAAAACAAGCACCATATGTACTCACCATCAAATTGGTATTAACCGATCAACACTTAAGTGCACATACAGTAGTAACATTCATCGGGTGTCGGGCAGTTGGGAGGGGGGAGGAGGGGACGGGTATATGCATACACAATGAGTGTGATGCGCACCATCCGGGGCATGGACACCCTTGAAGCTTGGACTTGGGGGCGGGAGGGGGGACAAGGGCAACATATGTAACCTAAACATCTGTACCCCCATAATATGCTGAAATAAAAAAAAAAAAGAAATCACAACAGGGATGAAATAAAAGGCAAATAAATTTAACTTTACTTTTTTAATATGGGAGAGGGTACATAGAACATACTGTCAAAGATGGTCTTTACTTAATTATTTCAATTCAATTCTAGAAAGCAGTCTGGAAAGCCTGCTATGTAACAATAGAAGTTACGTTAAAACTGCAGGCCAATCTGCTACAACATAAAAATTCAGGAGAAGAGCCTGATTTGTAAGTTCTCCAAATATCTGGGCTAAACAAACAGCCTACCATCTGGAACTACAGGAAGAGTTTCTTTTTTCTTAAATTTTAAATCACTAAGGAGTTCATGACATTAACAGCTTAAGAGCTTCAAAGTGCACATCAAGTGAGCACTGACAGTAGTTGGTGGAAATCAGGTGAGCATTCAGTCTATTATTATTCAGATGAACATCTCTGGCCATTATGGAGGCTGTGACCTTTTACAGATTTCACTTGTTTAAAATTTTTACTCATACATTGTTTAATTTAGACTCAATCTATAATGGACCACTAAGTGAAAAGAGAAAGCCTAGGAAACATTAATGTTGAATTATAGACGAGGAACATCAGAATAATTCTGTAAACAAGCCTCAATATGATCTTCAATAAATTGTTAAATTTCTTTCATTTGTTCGAAATCATCATAAAACACATCAAAATATCCCTAAAACTTCAAAAATCCAGGTTAAAGATATAGGTATATTAATTTTGTCATTTATTAGTAATGAAGACAATACACATAAGCACATTATAAGAAGAGAAGAGCTTATAATTTCACGTCTCATCTTACCATTTAGAAAAAAACACCTTTTTTTAGTCACTAGCTTATTTCTCTAAGGTAAAAAAATTCAAAAATTTCAAGAGTGCAATTTGTCTATATTTGATGTGGTAACAGCTAGTTATATTTCAATCTGTATTTTAATACACATTTGGTCCCCAAATCAAATATACTATTTTTAAATCCATTTGTTGATAAATCATGCTTTTTCTTCTATTTTAATTTAAAAAGTTAAAATTAACCTTCAATGAGTATCTGCTATTTTAGGTTATAATAGCAACACTTGGGGCTTTGTCAATAAGTGTTGAAATTGAGCTATATCCTACTTCTATGAATCTATACAAAACATAAAAACATTAACATATAAAGATATATGCACATGGATGTATACTGCAACACTGTCTAATAGCATAACATTAGAAATCAACTAATCAATCAACAGAGAACTATTAAAATAAATAATAATCCATCCATATTAAGGAATATTATATAGCTACATAAAGAATGTTAGACCTATACATAACTCAGCTAGAAAGGTAACTATGATACAGTGTTAAGCATGAAAACAAAATTATAGAATAAAATGCACAGTATGACTTTTTTAAAACAGAAGAAAACCCTGTGTTGGTTTGTGTGGATATTGTAATTTAAAAAACAAAAAAATTTTTAGAAATTAGTTTTAAAAATAGAGTAAACTACTCATAACCCTGTAATTCAACTCTGAGTTAAGAAAGGGGCCGCTAACAAATCTTTCTAGGCCCAAGACCATGGACTCTCCCAGCTATTGTTAAGCAACATGAGTGATACTATCACCAACTAAACTGGAGAAGGTAAAGAAGGGAATGACTGGGAAAAAAGCAAGGGAAATATCTAAAGAGAAACAAAAAGGAGACCAGAGGAAGCAGTTTAGGAAAAGAAAGAGAGAGAGAGAGAGAAAGGAAGAACGAGAAAAAAGTGAGAAACATTCTTAAAAGCTGCATTTCCACTCACCTACTAAGCAAAATATACTGCAGAAAATACTTTCAAACTTACACTGTAAGGGGTTGCTTCCATTTGGGACTGTTGGTATTGTTGCATTTTTCTGTCTTCTTTGACTGTCCATCTACTGTGACTTCTACGTAAGGACTTGGTCCAAACCAATTCTTTTTATTTTCTTTAAGTTTTGCTGATATGACTATGTAAAAGAAAAGGGAAAACATGTCAATATTTGGGATGTTATTTCCTCCTCAAATCAATTTAATATGACAAACATTAGGCAGATTATTACTTTTATTCAGAGAAGAAATTTTGCTCTAAAATATTTACTATTTTTATTCAATTATGACAGGTACTATTTCCTCTCATCCTAATATACAAATATAGGACTTCCCCACACCATTCACCCAAATGCCCACTGGGGCAGACTCCCATGGTCAGTACCAAAAGTCCCAGAACTTAGGTCTATTAAAAAGTACACATCAACACACTTGGTCAACAAGTATTTGGATGCCTACCATGTGTCACAGATACTGTTCTAAACTCTGTGAATAGAGCAGTTAACAGTATAGAAAAGGCATTGGCTCCCAAGGAGATTACATTCTAGTTAGAGAAAAGTCCTTGTGATGAAAAAACAGGCTGACGTGACAGAATATTTCCTGGAAATAAGAAGGCCTCCTGAGGAAGTACTTACAAGAAACCATCTAAAGGACAAGGAGCCAGCAGGGTAAAGATTGGGGGTCGGAATAAGAAAGCACTCCAGTCAGATGTCAACGAGATTGGCATATCTGAGGAAAAGCACAGCAAGCACAGGGAAGAACGGTAAATGAAGTGAAACAAGCTTTGTATATGACCTTTGTAAGCCAACGTAAGGAATATGGACTTTTTTCTAAGTGTGCTGGAAAGCCACTGGAAGAATAAAGAGTCACAAATTGTTTTGTTTTTTTTAACATTTCATATTATCTAAGCAAAAACTTCCTATATCATGCATCTTGAGATAGGAACTTCTTAGCTTTCATCCTTCAGTTAGTCATTTTTGCCATAAAATAGCTTGGTCCACAGCACTTGGAGGGGATACCAAGTAGAACAGAATCTAGTAGAGCATCCCATGATTCCCACAGGTGGCAACTCATTGTTCCCCCAAAGATGAGGTGATGATAGCCAAGGAAGTATTCTACCACCCAGGTATCTACTATAGCAGCAAAGTTCAGAGAATGCCAGTGTCCATCAAAGTTAAGGGGCCCCTGAAGTTGCTAGAGGAGTTTATATAGCAGCTACTTAAGAAGCTTAATATACAGTCCAAATTCTGGGCATCAGAGCAGGCACAGTCCCAGGTGGTAGCCCTGAATCTGACTTCACATCTTTTTTGCTTATGTCCCTTTTTGGTGGCATCCAAGCCAGCTGCAGGATGATTTTTCTTATAATGTATGCACATTCTGTAAGAGCTTCATCATTGTGAAATATTTGGTATAAAAGAAATTGAACAGGATTTGAAATCAATTATGCATCATCAAAAACAATCTGCCAAAGAAAGAAAAAGAAGAGATGCAAGAGAAGGCTAAAGAAGTAGGCAATAAGGAGCCACTGAAGAATTTTAATAAAAAGGTGATATTCAACAAATTTAATGGGTGCCTACAACATACATCTGGAATTGTTTTGGGTACTGAGGATATATAGATGATCAGATTAACACTGAATATCACTCTGCTGCTGTGGGAAAAAGAAATTGAAAGGGAGACAAAAGTAGGGGTTAGTAGCTACTGAAGTCATCTGGTCAAGAGATGATAATGGCTCATGCCTATAATACTAACACTCTAGGAGGCCAAGGCAGGAGGATCACCTGAGGCCAGAAGTTCTGAGACAGACCAGCCTGAGCAACACAGCAAGAACCCCATCTCTACAAAAAAAAAAAAAAAAAGAAGAAGAAGAAAAGAAAAAAAAATTGGCTGGGTGTGGTGGTGTGTGCCTGTAGTTGCCACTACACTTCAGACTGCAAGACAAAGTGAGCCACTGTCTCCAAAAAAAAGAGAGAGAGAGAGATGACAGTGGTTTGGACTAGGGTGGTGAGCATCAATATGAGGAGGAATAAATATTTTCTAAGGAGAAAGATTAGATCGTATGAGGAAGTCAGGGAAAAGAAGAAGGATAATTTCCATGTTCCTGGCATGAATAACCGAAACTAGATGGAAGATGGTACATTTAATAAGATGGAAAAGATCTAGTAAAGAAAAGTTTGAGGAGAGTGGTAAGGGCATGAAAATCAAGAATTTTACAATGAATGTATAAAATTTGAGATGCTTATGAGACATCTAAGTAGAAACATGAAGTAGGAAGTCTTTTTCAGAATAGAAAATATTCAAGTGGAGACTAGCCCTATCTGATTAAAATGTACTATTAAAGCTCTAATACTTATTATAAAGCCAAATTTAGTCACAAGATTGCCGCAAAAATATAAAATCCTTATTTTTAATACACTTCTGGTCTAAGAAAAGGTGAAATAGCCTTATATATTTCATTATATTTCAGGGGTTCTTGTGGCCCTCTGAAACTGATTAAACCTAGAACAAAAAAGCAATGTGGGCTTGATAGGAAGGAAATGATCTACCCCCACTGGCTTTTTAGAATCAAACTTCTGAAAGCTATTCTGCCACATAACCCTACACAACCCCACTGGAGCCATTTTAGCAAACTTTAAATGGGGGGAGAATGGGGTAAGGGAAACTAACACTAATTATTAAATATTTACCATGTGTCTGGCACTTAAATGTTATCATTTCAATGCTCAGGACTACTCTGTGAGATAGGTATTACTATACTAATTTGTACACATAAAATGACAAGGTCAGTGTAATTTAAAAATTTGCCCGAGGGTCATACTACAAAACCTGAACAGGAGAAACTATTTAAGTGTTCAAATCTCAAAGTCTAGATCACACAAAACCTTTGTTATAGTCCTAATATTATACATATTATAAGATAAATCAATGTTCTACTCCTTGAAAATTAAAGTCCCATAGTAAATTAAAAGGAAAAATAAAAAATTGTAAATTATAAACTCCAAGAAAGGGACCAGAAAAAATTTCAGTATCATCTGTCACCTGGGTTACTGCAAGAGCCCTCTAAACAATTGTCTGTTTTTACTCTCACTTCTCCAATCCAACTCCTCACAACTACCGGAATTATCTTCCTAGAATAGATGTGATCATCTCATTACTTCAATGATTTTCTACTGCCTACAAAATGAAGTTTAAACTCTTATGGGGCATTTTACATTGTTTACTACGTAGCCATAACTTACCTTTCTAGCCTTCTTCTAAACCAAATCTCACTCAGCTCTATATTCCAGCCATCCTTAGCTGTCTGCTGTCCTTTCAGGGGCCATGTATTTTTATGCCTCTACACCTGCTGCTGCCTCTACTGACAATGACCCTTCTTCCTTTTCTACTCAATAAAATCCTACTTCTTGAGAGACAAATGCTCCCTCCCTTTGTTTTGACTGAATGCTTCCTTAATCCTTAGATGTTAAATTGTTCCTGCCTCCATGCTTCCACAGCATTTCCATATTTGTGTATAGCTACTACAGCTTTTCATTCTGTCTTAATAGTTTCCATTTACTTAACTTACCCTATAATTCCCTTCATGGCAAGGATGTAGCCAGTCTTTGTAATTTCGACAGCACTTTGTGATTTAATCTGAGAGGCATTTAATACATTTGTTGAACCAAATGATTAGTCATGGCAGAAAACAGAAGTTTCCCTGCTTCATAGTGTGTGTTCCTGTCTTGCTTTCTCCCACCCTCTACTTTATAGTCAGTCTCTCAGTCTCTCTCTCTCTCTCTCTCTCACACTCACACTACTGCATACAGTTTGCATGGTATAGATTAATATTCCTTTGATCCCTCTATTTTGAAGGTTAATTCTTTGACCTGATTTTGGTTCTTCAGCCTATTTCTCTGATACAAAATAAACACTTCTAACAGTTTAAATAAAGTGTGATGGCTCACACCTGTAATCTCAGCGGGAGGATCCCTTGAGGCCAGTTCATAAACCAGCCTGAGCAACATGGTGAGACCCTCCATCTCTACAAAAAATTAAAAAATTAGCCAGGTATGGTGGCATGCGCCTATAGTCCCAGCTACTGGCGAGGCTGAGGGAGAAGGATTGCTTGAGCCCAGGAGTTCAAGGTTGCAGTGAGCTATGATAATGCTACTATACTACACTCTCGCCCAGGCAACAGACTAAGACCCTGTCTCAAAACCAAAACAAAACCAAAAAAAGAAAGCAAAAATGGATCCTTAGCTTATGCAACCTATTTTGGGAACCAGGAAGCTATACTGAACAAGGTAAAACAAATAAGGGTACCAAAACTGAATAAACCAGCAGTACAATAAACTAGATAAAAGATAAAACCAGTTGGGCAAGGGCTACCTCTGTAGTTAGAAGTTATGATAGGCCACATGAGGTCTCTGTGACAGAACTGTCTTGCCCTGGCAGAACTGGATACAAACTCTTGACTTCAAATCACAAGTATGAGGGACCTCCCTGCTCCCTAAGCAATCAGAGCTAAATATATAGCATTCTAGTAAATTTGGGAAATGCAGTAAAATTTAAATGCAATTAATAACTAAAATCAAGATGACATCTCTTTGTTAAATAATGAATTTGGAGTAAAGACCAAAAAATATAAGAAATTTCTAGAGAACTCCAAAGTACTTATTTTGTTTACATAGTATAATGCTAGCATACAACAAGCATCAAATAAAAACACAAATGAACTCAGTATAATAGCTGAGGTTATATAGAGAATATAATTAAACAGGAAATAGCTAATTAAAGACAGGGAAAGACATAAGACAGACCCACATCCAAGATAACAGACCCTGGCTAGTGAGAACAGGAAAAGAGTAGCTGATTCAAGAAATCCAAGGATAAGAATCACAAGAATATGATGATGGACAGGATGTGAAGAGTACAGGATAAAGAGGTTTAAAAAAAATTTAAATTCATGATTCACCAGTTAGCCTCTTGATAACAATGTCAACACTTTCATTTCTGGCCATAAACTTAAAATTTACAATAAACATCAATGATTCTGGTTACAAAAGGGAGAAGTGTAAAGAGAAAAAAATTAAAAATTAAAAAAAAGAAACATCACAATGATCTTTCACAAAACAGTACCATTCCTGCCATTCATTCTGGC